ATATTGAAAATACGTCATGATATACATGCATAGTAATTAATTGAGTATAATTAATAATAATAATAATATATAATAAAGACTTAATTTAAAGAGGCAACATAGTTAGGCATGCCCAGTCTTCCCTATGAGCCTCTATCAAATATACAATGTACATAGTACGAACATTTACAACAAAAGGTATGATAAACAACAACAGAAATAACATTGTTACAAATAGTTAAGAAACATATAAAATGAAAATCTAGAGGGAAAAAAAATGAAAAAAAAAAGAAAAATTTTGTTTTAATTAAATATTTGTTCCGTGATAAATGTTATGAATAAAATATACACAATCAATCAGCTACATTGTACGTAATTATAAAAGGGGAATTGAGGCTTACCAGGTTAAGGTGTCTGCATCTCGACCCAGGGATCATGGGTTCAAGCCCTACTTTGGTCACGACCATGTTTCTTTAAATGACACCAGTACTATTTGCTTCAAGAAAGCGGACTCGAAAGTGATTAATTTAAGTTGCGCAATCAAGCGTAAAAACATCTTTAAACCAATAAAGTATAACTATGGCTACAACAAATTTCATTGCATGTAAATGATAAGTCAGTTGGAAACATTTTTGAGTGTCGACCTTAATAAATCTACGTCATCGAGTTAAAAAATTAACGTGCTTTCAAAGAAAATAATAATGGACAGCCCGAACTCCGCCTTTTGAAAAATGTTGACGCAAGACAGGATGCAAGATGAATTTATATCATACATTACGGCGATAAACGGTACTTAGAGTTATCGTGTTATGCCCAAGAGTGGCCCGCTTAATAATTATGTTTTTAAGTCTTCAGAAGTTGACTCAACGGGCCAATTGCATGTCTATTGGAAGCCTTTTATTAAACTGAAGTATAACTTACGGGATTGAAGCCTATAAGGATCTTATAACGGCTGTCGGTATGGACCGGAATATCTAGCTTGAGAGTAACTGTTTACGGCGGTGCGAGGCTATGTTGGGTATCCGCTAAACAGGTACCCCGAGAGCTAGATATTCCTGTCTGTGACGACAGCCGTTGTTTGATTGTTTTTCTTGCATATTACAAATTAATGATTTTTTGAAAAGAAATAACAAAAACTAATGTTTCATTCAGCACAATTTTCTTATAGTAGCGTATTAAGTAACAACTTTATATACTAAGAACTCAATTTATTCAGAAAAGGCGCGTTGGAATGACATTATTTAAAACACGCGACTTGTCTTACTATGGAGTATAAGTTTTTCTAGCAACTGTGTAAACAAGAGATAATCCTGTTTGATATGCAAGAAAAGACGAATAGCTATCAAAAGAAGCAAAAATCTGCGAAGTAGCTATCGTCTGTTTGTAATTCAAATGATATTTAGAGATACGTTATCACTAATACATGTAAGTAAATACAATTAAGATAGATAAACTAACTACAGAAACGTCATGTAGGGTAAATCTTTGTCAATTACAGTAACAAGATTACTTTATATTGCTATAGTCATAGGTATATGCATACATTAAGGAGATAGACGTAATATTGAATTAAAAGATATGGCTACGGTGAGTTATAATTTGCTTTATGATTATTTATTCATTTGAATAATATTGTTTAATTGGGTTATTTCTACAGAAATTGCATGGTTTTTGTGTTGATTAAGCAGGTATTTTTGGAGTTACAAAAATAAACATTGATGAGTAAAAATAAAAAACTCAAAAACTTTTTTTTTATTTCTTCATAGTTATTTTTGCTACTTCTTGTTTGTTCTAGTCAGTTATAAAATATTAAATTGTAAATGAAAATATACCGTTGAAGGTATTTTATAACGGATATCATGCATGCATGTTGTGGGTTATGAAGCAAATAATAATGAAACAATACAATACATATACATGTATAAGAAAATGGGGAAAAATGCAACACAAATCGATAAGCATTCAATAAGATAGATACAAACTAATATGTATGCATTAAAACAAATGATATATTTTTTTCTGTCATGTAAGTTTGATATATTTATAGATTGGATCATTCAAGCTTGAAGGGTTGGTACCTGCGGTTTTTACACCGATGACAAAAGATGGGTAAGTCGTTAGTGGTACGTGACAAACAAATTAATACGGTTGTTGATTTTTGACTATGTTGTGCCTAATAATGCACGTTTGTAACGTCGCTGTTCATTGGATAATCGTGACGTTTATGTAATTTTATATACACGGCTGTTGTCGATTTATGTATTATCCCACTTTTTTTAAAGGACGTACGTCTCCGCACGTACTGTCGGCTCCTCAATTATCTGCGTCATCAATTCAACCATAGCAAATTTAGGAAGTAAAGGGCATATGACACGATAATGGTGGTTAACCTATGGTGTTACAAGCTTAAAGGAACACCAGGTGTCAAAACCACCTTACCTGCTGAAGCTAAGTTATGTATAGACAGTTACTCGAAACCATTTAGTCGCCGCTTATGACCGCGCAGGGATAAACAGTTGCTCCAATTTTGATGCCTCAACTTTTTAAGCAAACTCTCTGCCACAACCGGCAATATAAAGAATTAATTAATAGATAAAGAACATATAAGCAATGGATTGAAACGAGACAGACATTAGCTTAATGTAGAAAATATTGTTGTATACTATTACTTAAAATGACTACAATGACTTTGACGTGAATCGTTACAGGGAAGTCGATTACGACAAGTTTGAAATGTATTGCAACCATCTTACAAGCAAAGGAATGACCCAGATATATGGTAAGCTATCTTTATCTAGCATGAAACAAAATTGCATGTGATGTAATTGTAATTAATGTCATTTAAGACAATGTGGTATGAACATTTTATAGAACATTCTAGCATAACGTGTTGTCTTGTTCAACTATTAAACATTTCACGAGTCAAGTTATAATGTGAGTGTTGTCTGGTTGGAATTATAGAGGACAGCAAACGTAAAACATAATACATCATAATACACAATAGCATTATCGTAGTCATAACCCTAACACGCATAGATGATGACGGTAGCCCAGGTGATATTGGTGCAGTGATATTGTCTGTATCAACACCATTGAATTGTCTTTATTCTGAAAACTTCACCCATTTAGCTATGTATTTCAGTAAATGGAACAACTGGAGAAGGTTTTTCGTTAACTCTTGAAGAAAGAGAAAAGATTGTGGAGAAGTGGATTGAAGTCGGGAAAAAGAGGTATGTGAAAATCTGAAAGAAACTGAAAGCAAATTTAAACTTGTCACAGCCTTTAACAAGTGTTTGTCCTTTTAACAATCTCATTGAAATCAAATTATTAATAAAGCTCCGGTACCTACTAAGCGAGGCATAGAGGAGCAATAGTTAACTTAGATTTGATTTTAAAGAGATTGTTCTTTTTACATTACTATAGTTATTTTTTTTTTCATAAAGATACTTTTTGTAAAGCAGTTGCATGTTATAAGCGCAGCCAAGCAACTACCGGAACAATTTAGATTATATTTAGTACAAGAAGAGATTTGGTAAAGGTACACCGTTAATAGCTTCTACTGAATACGAATCGCATAGTTCTCTGGGGGACACATAACTAGGATTTCGACAAATAAAGCCCCCAACAATAGGCAAATGTGATTTTGATATAATTCACTGAATTTCTGCCTTTTTGACATGGATGTTAAGTTTTATATTTTATCCTTAACATTCCCCATTATTAGATATTTGTCAATCGACATTGACTTCAAAATATATCGCTTTAACGTGGCCATGATTAATATGACGACATCAAGATGAAAAGAAACAATGGATCTGGAAATGGATCTTTTCCCATAATATGATAATTATATCAATAAGTGTTCACTTTGCAACTGAGGTTGTAACATTATTTTCAAACACTTAACTTTTCGGTAATTATTTACAAGTTTATGTATGTTAACAAGTTTCTTTTTGTCAATTCACATTATGATGGGGAGCTTTATTCGTGACTGTTTTAACCGATACATGTTTTTTGACGATTATGTCGCCAGTAACAGCGCAACAGATATATTCCCGAGCAGCTTTGTTAAAAGAAAAAGTACTTTGTATGACAGAACTATAAGTTGGTCGAAAGAAACATTTCAAATATTATAATAAAGTTTTGTCAAACAATTATGCTTCGTTTTTAAATATTTAACTATGTCATTATTGAAAATAAGTTTGAAGTGAAACTCCGATTGCAAATTCCATAAACATATGTTTAATGTAGTTGTTTGAAACAGTCTGCCCTTAACTGACATTGCATCTTTTTGTGACGAAATGGAAACTAAAATTTAAGTTTGATAAATTTTACAGCGGAAAAATAAAGTCCATCGTGGTACAGGTCGGAGCCTTAAATCTTCATGACACAAAAGCAATGGTAAAGTACCGACCTTTTACTTTGTTCACGTATTTTCTTTGAAAGTTAGGCATGTTATCATTTATAGCAGGTCACAACTTATTGGTAACTTGATACCTAAAGCTTATTTTAAAACTTTGATTCATCCAACTCCAGCTTTGTAATTAACACATTTGTCATTCCTATAAACTTGCTTAGTCCATATCATTGCCATCGATATTAAAAAATGACTTCAATTTTATGTACAGTCTCAAGCTTATTATTTGTGAATGATAGTCATACACCTCTCCGTATATATCTTAAGTTTAGGAGGAAATATATATTATTAAGCTTCTAATATAAAAAGAAAAAAGTAAAATAAATATTCTCAAGACAACATGAAATTGAATGTAAGCCTACAATTAAACATACTGAGGGACAATACCAGTAAGTACAAACAATAATTTACCTATCATTTTAGAAGTATGCCAACAGTATCAAAAATATGAACGACATTTCAGATGAAGCACCTTTATGTTAACATACGTAAGGCAGGGTAGTCCATATATCCTAGCCATTATTTAAGTAACATTCAATATTTAATGTTAGTCACAATTCCTTTCTGTATTAATATTAGGCTGAACATGCTGTGAAGATGGGGGCGGACGCAATAGCCACGGTACCGCCGCTTTTCTTTAAACCAAAAACAGTCGGTTAGTCTTTTAACACATTAAATCAATATTAAAATTACGGTGCAAAGACAAAAGTTCAAAGTGTAACATTAAAACCAAAAAACATACTTGGATGTATATTTAGACATAGGATTTATTCCCCCTCACTTACATTTTTTTTGTTGCTAAAAGTAAGGATTATCTTGGAGACAAAGCTTAACAAACAAATTGGCTCCTGTTTGATGAGTAATTTTCATTAAATGAAATGAGATACACACACGTAAAAAAACTTAAAATACGATATAAAATTGCTATAACTAGTCTTAATGGTCTCTTCAGAGACTTTCGAAAATAATTCTTGTACAATTGCTGCACGCATATGAAACGCATATGGTACGTAATTATATAACTTAACATTAATACGTAACATTCAGGATTATTCTATTTTTTAGGTTAATCATGTTTCATGTTTGATACTATTTGATTAGAAAGATAACATACAAACAACTGAAATTAATTCAAAACTAAAATAAAATTCAAGGCATTTGTTTGTTTCAGACTACCTTGTTAAATATTGTAAGGAAGTTGCGAGCGCTGCACCGAACCTTCCATTCTACTTTTACCATTTGCCTGGTGCAACTGGTGTGGAACGTAAGAAAGCTTATATTTTATATCTAATTTTTCATTTTCATGTCTGATAAAACATGTTCCCTTATGCACATCAAAATTAAATTGGCTCTACAGTAAAACTTTTCCTCTGCATTTAATAACCCGAAACGTATTCCCATCATAATTATGTTCAAGATTGGTATAAACGGAATCCCTATAGGATGCAAAAAAAAATGTAGCAAGATCGGTTTGATTGAGTCTGTCCATAGACACCGTCCACGCACCGTAGTATTATTTGATAATGATTAAATTATAACTTAAATTCATTTTTCTTAATATTGAACATGTTTTGAACTATATACATCAATAAAGATCTCTTTATGACATAAATATACTAAATTCCTCTTGTTCAAGTCAATATTGCTCGATCCCGTTTATGTCGTTCGTCGTTGCCTGGGTTTGTCGGGGCTGCGTTCATGTAATGCCGCCTTCCCTTGTTGACCTTTGTTCTCATATTCTGACAGGTGACCTGTAGTAACAGTATGATAAAAACAGCTTCAGTATTGTTATAACTTACTGAATGATAGTCGTTCTTTTAATTATTCTGAGTATTTTCCTCCCTAAGTTTGCATCGAAGATTTCTTGAAAGTTGCTGCTAAAGAAATACCTTCTTTTGTGGGTGTCAAATTTTCTTCAAACGATTTGGTAGACCTTATTGGATGCGTACACGTGTCAGCACCAAATAGAGACGATGGAAAGTTCAACATGATGTTTGGATATGACCAGGTATTTCTTATTTCTGATGAGCAAGTTTAAATACAGATGTTGTTTAAAGTTCGCTTGTACATTGATTGGTTCGCTTACTAACATAAATTAGAATATGTGATAGCGAAAGTGATACAAAACCCGAGACAAATGACAGAAACACTCGTTTGAATAACAGAAAGTTGATGTCTTCAAACAGACTGGGCCAAAACCACTGATGTCTATGAACAACTCGGACAAAATCACTGATGACTATGAAAATCTGGAAACTTTTGTAATATATCCGATTGCTTGGAACATCGTAATCACTCCATTTGCTTGCTAGTCGAAATGAGTGAACCACTGATGTCGACCAAAATCACTGATGTCTATAAATAGACTCCGTTAAGATTAATGACGACAAGAACAAGTGTAAGTAATTCTTATTTAGAAAGAGTGCCGTTCATTGACAGGTCATATAAAATCAATGACATCTATGAACATACTCGATCAAAATCATTGACATTTATGGACAAGCTCGGTCAAAAGAACTAACGTTCTTGTACAAATACAGTAACAATCATTCCCATAAACTTGCTAAGTCCATATCATTGTAAATTCTATGTTTTTACTTTTTATCGTAACACAGCGTCAGTTTTAAAAATAAAACCCATAGAGGCATAATTTCTTGCTACAAAGCAGAAAAGACATTAATGTATGTTAAATGATTAAATGTAACCTACCCAATTTCTTTTGAAGATAATTATGGCGGGTATGACACTTGGAGCTGATGGCGGAGTTGGTACTACATTTAACTTCATGGCGTCTGTCATTAGAAAGGTCTTAGACAGCAAAGATAAGGGTGACTGTATTGAAGCACGCCTTTATCAGTATCGCACCCAGCAAACATGTAAAGTGATGTATAAATACGGTAATGCATTTGCTCATAAGATATAACATAGACATTTGACCAAAGGTCGATTTGCATTCAGTAATAATTACTAAAAGTTTTCATATAAATCTTAAGACAAATTAGGTGCAATGAAGTCTCCTTGGTGTTTGTAAAGATTATTTTACATGACATAAATTGACTTCCGCCAAAAAGATGTCGTCCATGTATTCCCGTTTGTTTGGTAAAGTTTTAGGTTTTCACAAAGCTGGCATACATATGAGTGTTGAACCAATAGAACAAAAATAATTTAACATATGGTCTTTTAAATTTAGGCTTAAATCTGAATCTTAAATAATAAAACGAAATGTACATATGTATAAACATTTTCATTGATTGATTTATTATTTAAAAATGTCTAATATAGGGGATCTTCTTGGTGGCAGCGTGGCAGCATTCAAGGCTCTAATGACTTTGATTGATGTTGATCTTGGCCCAGCAAGATCACCAATGAGATGCCCAACAGACCAAGAATTAGAAGAGATCAGGTCAGAACTGCAGAATATTGGATTCTTTGATTGGTATAATTTAAATTGAACTGGAATTTATAACTTGTGTCACCTGATGCAAGTGCGTAGAACAAAAGAATACGCTTATAATACGCAACCTATAGAAAGATTAATTTTGCTTTATTTATTTATATTGGTATGGCCATATATGATATATAGGGAGAGGGTGAAATTTCAGTTTGACCGACACAAAAGCGACTTTGCAAAAACTGTTTACAAAATTATGATATTTGTTTCATCGAAAATCATTTTTTTTCTGTGTATATGTTATATGTTACATATTCGTCAGTCAAAGAAATATACCGTTTTATATCTTTCTGGTGCCGAACACCTTGAACACATTATGTATTTTTGTAATTGAATGAAACTTCAAAATACTAAAATAAAAGAGAATTTTGCTTTTTGTTGTTGTTTAAGAAATATTGGAATTATTGATAGTTCACTTTTACATGTATTGTTATTAATTTACTGTTTTGCTTGTATATATGTTTGTGTGGTTGTGTGGGATGAAGGACTGGACACATTTTTTTCAAAATAAACATGTTAAATCTAGTTGGATTGTTTGTTATAACATACTGTCTAACTTGATTAATATACCTAATGGATTCTACATTTATAAATTGTAAGCATTTAACTCCATAATTTGGTTACAAACATCACCGATATCTTTGTGTAACTGGGTGCTTTTGGATTTCGTAACCATATTAAAAGAGCACATGTGGCAACGGAATTGTTGGCGTGTATTTACGCAGAACATTATATCTAATGCAGCAATTAATCTTTATTATTGTATTTGGGATTGTTATTTATCAAACTTCGCCTAGTGATTTATTAATGTTTTCAGGTGCGTTGTCTAAAAGATTTAGAAAATACAACATTATTTTGAGAAGTGGTTTGATGTTTTACAAAATCGATATATCTTGCAGACGATAATTTTTCAGGTGTCATTTCATTCGGTTTCATTTGTATAGATTGGCATTTACATTACGTATTGGTGTACAAACTCACCTGAGAGCCTGACGTAATCTATAGATTATGAACTCGGTTTTTAGCGGTTTCATTTGTATAAATTGGTATTTACATTACTTTTTGGTGTACCAACTCACCTGAGATTATACTATAGAACCACTATGAACTCGAGAGAATAATGCACAGTTAATAAATCAACAAAATGGAGAGCCGTCTGGCTCATGGTAAGCAAGATGCAGCGGACAATCATGTTGGCAGTGTGGTACATAATGAGCAACGTGGTGAAATTAATCTATCAATTTGTTTAAAATGTTTGACAAAAAGTAATCTGGTTGTCTTTTTGATTTAATACTACATCATTTTGACTTTTTAGATTAGTTTTCAGTTCTAATTTGTTTCTACATTTCTTTACTTATGAAGAAATATTGCGTATCCACCACGTACCAACATAATTCATACATAATTATTTCGTGGTTTGTGGTTTAATCAATGATGTTATATTTTCGATCCTTGAAGATCGTTCAGCACGACATTATTGTTGTGCTTGTGGTATTTTTAGTTTCAACTTTTCGGCATTTTCTAGTTGGGTGGTTCCAATATTCCTACTTGAATAATGTTGAATCACCCTTAGGATATGTTGCCTGCTTTTTAAATTTGTCTTTTGACGTCTTATCTGTGATACGCAGGCTTCATAACCTCTGATCCCCTTTCAAAATTCCATTTTATTTAGTTCCGCCCATTGTTTTCTCGTTTAGGGCACACGCTTTTTATTACTTGGGGACCATACGCCGCTTTTCATGGAATGGCACTGAAGTGTCACATTGAAGGTTCCATGATAACCGCCGTATGAACACATCTGCGGATGTTTCTAAATTCAAAATTTTACTATTTCATGTTTAAATGTTGAATTCTGCTTAAGCCGGTGCTAGGGGGCGTGGACGGTAACTTGCACATTCCAGTACTGTCCATGAACAGGCTCAATCAAACCGAGCCTGCAACATTTTCAATTTTGCCGTGTTGGGCTTTCTTTAGGGATTCTGTATTTATCTATTTTGTGGTTATGATGACTATATATGAACAATAAAAACTATGAATTGTATAATGCATTGTTAATACTAAACACCAGCAACATAGTTATGTATGGTATAAGGCAGTGTTATGTTTGATTCAAAATACTCAGTGGTCGAGGGGTTAGAGTCGATAACTTCGAATCCAGTTACCTCTCTGGCGTGAGTTCGATCCCCGGGAGATGCTTTGGTAGTTTAGCGCGAAGGAAGGTAGTCTAGTACTGGTGTAACTCTCCAGGAACGATGGTTCGGAAACTACGCGCCTTTATGACTGAAAGACTGTTGCGAAAAGGCGTAAAATGAAACAAATAAACAAACAAACAAACAAAACCTCTCTGGCGTGGGTTCGATCCCCGGGAGATGCTTTGGTAGTTGAGCGCGGAGGAAGGTAGTCTAGTACTGGTGTAACTCTCCAGGAACGATGGTTAGAAAACTACCTGCCTATATGACTGAAATACTGTTGGATAAAGGCGTTAAATGAAACAAACAAACAAACAAATTAAAATATGCATGATATATCGTATACCATTCGTTATGGTCCCATAAAGTCATATTCAGACGTCGTCAGTTCCTTTATAAGAATCAATCGTATTTTTAGTTTATACAAATGTATTTAAGTTCGAAAGTGTTCGAAGTTATACGCTTATTGAAACAGTTTTGAATACGTTTATTTAACCAACCAATAATAAACATTGAGTTCACAGGAACATCGATTGTTCCTGGGGAGGTTTTAACCCACGCGGCCAACAATCCTTAGATTACTAGTCCGATGTGTTAACCACACTTGGCCACGATTTCACTTTTATTGTTTTAACATAAACAATTTGAAACATGTTGATAAATTAGTCTATGCCTGGATGAAAGAAAGATGTAGTAGATTGCTAGGGCAGACTATCATAATTCTGATAACATATTTGATATTTTTAAACCTACTAATGTTCACACTGAGATACTCATGCCCATAAAAAATGATTAATTTTAATTTCTTACAGTTACTTTGAATGCGATGCTAACATAAATAAGATAAGATTAAAATGATAATTTGCATTTCATATCTTGATATATCATATATCATTGTAAAAGTATCAAATGATGTCTTTTTGTTGTTGTAAAGATCAATTAGAACCTTCGTCATACAAGGTAGGGTGGAATATTTTACGAATTTCTATTCAGCGACTGCTAAAATACCATGTAATAAATTGATACACCTTTGTCTTACTCTTATGCATTTGGTGTTAATAATACCTAAAACTAAATTAGCGCCCAAATAGTTATTTTAATTCGCCTAACACGCTGTTTCGTCATTTTGATGCCGACAAAAACGACTGCATATACTTAATCAAAGGTAAAAGGCAAAAGCGATATTAAAATCAATTTAAAATTCTTCGCAAGTTGAATATAGAAAAAAACAATACCTTAAAAACATAATTTTATGTACAACAATGGTAACGAGTAATTCAGCGATTTCTGTAAAACAAGAGGGCCATGATGGCCCTATATCGCTCACCTTAGGAATAGATCTTATAAAGTATTTTCCTTTAAAAAAAAACAACAGGTTTATAAAATTCTTTAATGTCATTTAAAGGTTAGTGTCAAATGTAATGTATTTTTGGCCGACAGCAACAGGAATGCAAACAAGTGTATAGAAATACCTCTTTTTTCTTTTCTTTAATGTACAGGTTGCTAAAAAATACACCCCCTGTGGCGTGTTTACATCATGAAAATTTTAACAATGACATCATAATTAACAAGACGAAGTACAAATTTGGATAATACTTAAATAAAGCTGGGTCAAAGACAAAAATGGCCAGGTTGCATTTGTATACCAAATAACATGACTCATGAGGCTGTGATGTTACAAAAATTTCCTACCAATGACCATTCATATCGAACATTTAACCAAGTCGGTAAACAGGAAGAAGATAAGCGATAGAACTGAACTTTGCAGTCACAATACCAAATTTCAAGAGGCTGTGATATGTAGTTGCTAAGAAAACTGTTACGGAAATTTCCTTCCATTTACAATTAATGCTGAAAATTTCACTAGGTCAGAAAACTGAAAGTGGATGAGCCACATACCTGAAATCATATCAATGTTGTATACCAAACATCAAGAGGCTGTAATAAGTAGTTGCTGAGAAAATTGTTACAAAAAATTTGTACCATTGACCATTATTATGAATTAAACTAATGAGAAAATTGGTAAACATAATTTTTTTTTTCATATATGATTTTTTTTTTCGAAAACCAGTATTATAGTTGTAATAGATATCCCATTAGTGTTTAAATATCAAAATATTTTTTGATAGTGTTTACTCAGGGGTATCATGTTGGCCCAAGCATCTGTGGTTTATCATAATTTAGAACACCCTTTCTAAAAAAAAAGAACAACAACAACAATTAGCAGGGATCTCAGGAAGGTAAAAACTGTTTGACCAAAATTTTCACGAGTCATTTCAGTTTTTTCCTCTCTTTTAATCTCTTCATGAACCATTTTCATGTTTCAATAATGAATTCAAAAATTACTGTTTGAGAAGATTTTCAAGTATAAATTGATAATATTGTGAGGTTAAGTTATTTTAAAATTACGTATTTTTCTTGCTTAGTTAACAAAATGATAAAGATAATTAAGTATTACTAGCACCATTGATAATTACCATAATTATTTTTCCATTTTCACTAACATTTATTGAGGTCAATAACACATGTGTACATGTATAATTTTATAAATCATAACACGGGACGTCTGGAGGTGATATTTACATAAATACAGAATGCCATGCCTTAATACTTAACAAATAGTTAACGAAATACCTGTTTCAACGAAGCACACCGATAATTGTATTCATCTTCACTTCTTTGTTGTGAAATACGAGCTTATGTTACAAAATTTCTCAATTTTCTTGATTGGCGGACGTTTCGTCATGTACTTCCGGTTTAGTATAATTTATAATCTCAACTCGAGGTCAGATTGATACAGATGTTTTCTGAGGCAAAATTGTTGGTTTGATTTGATTTGATATGCATTATTTGATTATTCGAATCGTATGTTTGTTCTCAGAATGAAATATTATGACATAATTCGTTCATCAGTAGATGCGGTGTAGCTAGCTGCTATATGATTTTTCCCGCAAACCGGAAGGATAAGAAATGTAATATCCGTACTGTAAATTAAACTATCTTAATCAACTAATTTTTGTGGAAAAAAAACAACATTTTTGTTCACTTTCGTTTCTTTGTGCAATTTCATACACAATAAAATGTGCCAGTCATTGTCAAGAACCGAAATATTTTACAATTGTATTTCGGAAATGACACAGTCTTCCTTTCTGATGATATTACGAAATTAATGGAAAAATCCAT